TCTCTCTCTCTTTCTCTCTCTCTTTCTCTCTCTCTTTCTCTCTCTCTTTCTCTCTCTGTTTCTCTCTCCTTTGATAGCAGCGAGAGGGGCATGCCCCTCCGCTGCCCTCCCTCCTCAGCAGCGGATCTAAATATCTCTTTATATGTACGTGTGTGTGGTTTTATTGCATCAGCAGGGCACAGCGAGCGACAAGATCACACAGGGGCGAGAGGGGAGGGGGTGTCCCTGCCACCGCGGAGAGGGGCCTGTGTTCGAAGCAGGGGGAAGAGGGACGGGAGAATGGCAAAAGCTGGGAGGACAGGTGATGACAGGGACAGCGGCAGCAGCGGCGGCGGCGGCGGCAGCAGCAGCAGCAGCGGCGGCAGCAGGCTCAGGGATGCGGGCTCTCTTGGCCGTGCCTTCCGGCTCTCAGAAGAGGCCGCTGATCTCGCCGGTCTCCGGGTCGACATCAATGTCGTAGTAGCACGGGCGGGTCGGCAGGCCGGGGATGGTGGGCATCTGTCCAGAGGCCAAAGGTGGGGTGTCGCGGCGGGTCAGCAAAAGAGGCGAACAGAGGCGCGAGAGTCGGAGAGGGCGAGGGGGAACGAGGGAGAGGGAGGAAGCAAAGGGGCGGCGGGGCGGGGAAAATGGAGAGCCAAGTGCACGAGCACACAGCGGCACCACACGTACAGCACCCAGCAGGGGGTAAAGGAACCCGGCGCCGACACTGGCGCGGACGTCGCGGATGGGCACGGTGAAGCCGGTGGGCACGCCGCGCAGGGTCGGGTCGTGCGACAGAGACAGGTGGGTCTTGGCCATGCAGACGGGCAGGCTACCGAAGCCCTGGCGCTCGAAGCGGGCGATCTTCTCGGCCGCCTGCGGCAGGATCTCGATGTCGGCGGCGCCATACATCTGGGTGCAAACAATGCGCATCTTCTCCTCGATGGACAGGTCAAGGTCGTAAAGCAGGCGGAAGTCCTCCGGGTTGTGCGCCTGGCAGGCGGCCTCGACCGCGCGGGCCAGAGCCAGGGCGCCCTTGCCACCGTGGGCCCAGTGCGAGGCGACAACCGCATCGGCCGCGCCGTTGGCCACGGCCAGCCGGCGGATCAGGTTGTGCTCGGCCTCGGTGTCGGAGCTGGGGCGGTGCGTGTGCAGGAGCAAGCGAATGTCAGCAACGTATCGGAATGTCCACGGCGTGGGGTGGAAGAGAGAGAGAGGGAGAAAGAGAGAAAGAGAGAAAGAGAGAAAGAGAGAAAGAGAGAGAGAAAGCGAGAGGGAGGGAGAGCAGTTTGGTGTTTGTGCAGATCAGTACGAACCTGAAGGAGTTGATCGCAACAACCACCGGGACACCGAACTTGCGAGCATTGGCCACATGCGCCACCAGGTTGGCGCAGCCCTTCTCCACGAGGTCCAGATCCTCGGTGAGGTAGGCGTCCGGGAGCGGGCGGCCCGGCACGACGTCCGGCCCGCCGCCATGCATCTTCAGCGCACGGACAGTGGCCACCAGGACCACGCAGTTGGGGGTCAGCCCGGAGGTGCGGCACTTGATGTTGAAGAACTTCTCCATGCCAATGTCGGCGCCGAAGCTGGACGATAGTGCGTGCGTGCGTGCGTGCGTGCGTGAGTGAGGAGGGAAGAGCAGCAGGGGACAATGGACCTGCATTCGGCCGCGCGACAAGGGGGGCCACGTACCCGGCCTCAGTGACCACGAAGCCCTCCTTGCCGGCCAGGCGCAGGGCGATGCGATCGGCAACGATGGAGGAGTTGCCGTGGGCAATGTTGGCGAAGGGACCGGCATGCACAAACACCGGGGTGCCCTGCAGGGTCTGCATCAGGTTCGGCTCGATGGCATCGCGCATCAGGGTGACCAGGGCACCGGTGACACCGAGGTCGTCGGCGGTGACCGGCTCCCCGGCGCGCGAGGAGGCCACAACCATGCGGCCAAGGCTGGGTGGCCGGATTGTTGTTGTTTTTGATTAACCCCACCCTCGAGAGGTTAGAGAGTGCGGGCAGGCGGGCAGGCACGAGAAAGGGGGAGAAAGGGCAAAGGCAGGGGACACCGGGCAAGGGTGGCCGGGCGCGCACCGGAGGCGCATGTCGGCCAGGTCATTGGAGAGGGCCAGGATGGCCATGATCTCCGAGGCGACGGCGATGTCGAAGCCGGTCTCACGCTCGAAGGCGCTCTCGGCCGAGCCGCAGCCGACCTTCACGCGGCGGAGGAAGCGGTCGTTGGTGTCCAGGACTAATGTGGGCGGTTAGAGGGGGCGGGAGAGAGGCCGGCGGCAGGAGGGAGAGAGAGAGAGAGAGGGTGGGGGGGGGGGGGGGGACTGAAAGTACCGCGCTGCCAGGTGATGGTGGCCGGATCGATGTCGAGGCGGACGAACTTGGACACCTCCTCCGGGGTCAAGTCCGAGGGGTCGGTCTTGTTGATGCCCAGCTTCTCGAGGCGGCGGAACATGATGTTCGAGAAGACGCGCTTGCCCTGGCGCAGGGGGCACAGGCGGTTGAACAG